ACTGTGGACAGTTATTTTGTGAGACAAGGGTCCTGTGACTCAAGCTGGTCCTAGTGGCATTAAAAGACAGAGAAGAGAAGTAACCCCAGAGAGGGCTTTGATACCTAAAGTCCTTATGGAAAGATATCCCTTCCAAACACTAACCCCAACTCCCTCTCTCCTCCTCCCTATCTTCCAGATGCCGTCACCAATCTTCAATAAAAGTAAGTAGAAATGTTATTTCATATGTTATTTAAATTTATTATTAATTGTACTATGTACATATACATATATATGTTTGTTATGTGTATGTAAAACGATAATGTAATCTCTATAAAATGTATTTTTTTGTGAATATTTTTGGGTTTCTGGAACGGATTAATTGTATTTCCATTATTTCTTATGGGAAATACATGTATTGGTTCGATTTTTGAACATTTCGACTTTACAACTAGCTCCTGGAAGTATTAAGTTCGAAACTCAAGGGTCCACTGTATATGGTTTAAAATAGTAACTTTGTGATGTTTTCTTGGAGGATTTTTATGGTTTTATCGACTCCTTTTTGGTATGAGTTGATATAATGGAAAACACATTACTGAAGTAGAGATGATTTTGATTGGTTTCCTAAGTGGCAGTACCTTGATTATGAGCTCAAAGTAGCAGAAATATTTGAATTTTGCTAATATTCCATTGACAGGTAAGGCTCCTACAACTTCCCCTCCCCCCCATCTGTTTTACGGGTTTTTAATAGGTCTGATTCAATTACTGGGATTCCGTAAACCATGACGAATCTTTCCTGCTTATACAGTAGACCATTATATTACATGTTTTATCTGGCACGTTTTGGTTATTGCACTATTAAAAAATTGCAGCACAATTTTAATCAACACTCTGTAAAATTAACTTAACACGGTTCGGTTTGTGGGAAGCGAAAAAATTGGGATCATCGCCCATGGGATACTTCCCCAACACAGCTAGGAGCTAACTGTGCTTATTATTATGTTTGTGGATTGAGTTTAGATCTTTTAATTGCCATATCTTGTATCTGCCAAGCAATCATGGCACCCAGTAGGCATACAAGTGTTGCTGAAAGTGGGAAGAAAAGGTTTAAGCATTTAAGTCTAGGAGTTACAAAAAAAATCAAGATATTAGACAAGCTTAAGAGTGGCTCACGTGTGGTGGATATAGCGAGGGCCTATGGCCTTAATGAAGTGTCAGTTCATACAATTAAAAAGAATGCGGTGACTATACGAGCTTGTGTAATGAATAACCCAGGATGTCATCTCATGAAAAGAATGACACATAGATCACAACAAGTAAAAAAAACTGAAAATTTGTTGCTTAAGTGGATGAACAAAAAACAAAGAAAGGTGCACCACTTAATTTCATCTTAATTAGGGTAAAGGCCTTATGGTTGTTTAAAGCAGTATGTGATAAGGAAGGCCTGAAAAAAGTGCATGTTGAGCACAGGCTGATTCCACAACTTAAAGTTACATAATAAGTTACATAATATTAAGTTTTCTGGTGAAAGTACTTCAGCTGATCATACAGCAGCAAGTAATTTCCCTGCTGAATTGCAGGAAATTATTTCTGAGAGTGGCTAAGAGCCACATCAAGTGTTTAATGCTGACAAGACAAGTGTTATTTGGAAGAAAATGCCAACAAGAACTTACATCAGTCAGCAAGAGAAAAGTGCACCGGGCTTCAAGACAGCAAAAGGATCGCTTCACCTTGCTCCTTTGCGGTAATGCATCAGGTGATTTCAAGTGTAAGCCCATGGTTATTTACCACTCTAAGAATCCTCGTACTTTGAAAGGTGTAGACAAAAACACCTTACCAGTAATTTGGAGGTCAAACCAGTCACTGGTTTTTCCCTTGCTTGAGAGTCAGACTCAGGAAATTGTTCAGCTGGCAAGGAGATTTACCAAGTGATGGTTTTGAAGATATGAATGAAGATGTGAATGAGCTCTTAGAAGATGATGATGAGGACAGAAGTCCAGAGGAAATATTGGCAGAGCTCGATGCATAGATACAAGGGAGCCACATAACAGAAGATGAAGAAGAGCCTGAAGAAAAACTCTTAACACTGCAGCAGTTACGTGAGCAGTTCTATGTTGTTGCTAAACTAGCAGACTTTTTCACTGAAGAGGACCCTGACAAATCTAGAAGCAGTACTTTGAAACAGGGTCTAGACCAACTATGATGCTTTATCATCAGCTGTATAATGTACTGCAGGGTAAACGAGCCCAGAGATCCATTACAGAATTTATGCACACTCCAATACAACCATCGACTTTAGTACCAGAACCTCTACCATCCACTTCTGCCGATAACCAACAACCATCCACTTCAGCCCAGTAGGGCCTATCTATGCATCTCCACTCTCTTCACAATCAACCACAAACACCAGTACCCACAATTTAAGGTAAAAAATACTATTATTTCTGCTGCATTTGTAGTCTTAACCCTTTCAGGGTCCATGCCGTAGTTCTACGGCTTTGAGTTGAGGGTCCAAACCGTAGATCTATGCCATGAGCTCAGCTCACTCTGATAAGCTGTGAGCGGTAAATTTGGGCCTAGATATGAGAGAGTACATCTACATGGTATGTGTGCACTGTATAAAACAAATCCTGCAGCACACAGTGCATAATGAGAGAAAAAAAATGACAGTAATTTTCGATTAAAATAGCAACTTTGCAGTGTTTTTTAATATGTTTTTTATAGTTGTATTTGTGATTTCTTGGTCTCATTTGATAGAATGGAAGATATATTACAGAAATAGAGATGATTTTGATTGGTTTTAGTACTGGAAATGGCTTGAAACTGAGCTCAAAGTAGCGGAAATGTTAAATGTTTGCCGATGTTCAAGAGTAAACAAATGACCTCACACGTCTAATACACGCCAGCTGGTGGGTCTAATATACGTTCCCAAATGTGGTGATATTATTTATACAATTATTACAATATTGCCTAACAGTAAAACTTTTATTTTTTGGTTTGAATAAAAATTCATTATGTGAATAAAAAATCAAAATGGAATTCATTTGTAAAGCCTGAAAATGTAACTAATGAACAGAGGAAATGTTAGTTTAGTGCCAGGAATGCCTGCATTGCTTATTCTGGACCCTATTTTGAAATTGGAATATTTTGAACTTTGTATTAAATTGGCCAAATTACCAATTTCCAATCACTTTATTTTGTAGTAGAAACAGTTGACTTGGCGATTTCTTGTGGTCAGTCGATAGAATAGAAGTAATACTAGTGAAATAGCTAAGAATTTGGTCGACTGAAATAATGTAATTGGCCTAAAATGGGAGTCAAAGTTGGCAAAATCGCCAATGCTTAAATATTGCTGACACATCAAAATTCGCGAGAGCATAATTTCGTCAATTTTCCATCAAATTTCATACTTTTTGTTTTATTCTCTTCAGAAAAAGATTTTCTATCATTTCATAAGAAAAAATAAAATTTTGTTTTGAAAATTCTTGGACCCAGATGCACACTTTGAAATTTGGCCTCTGCACCCTGAAAGAGTTAAGCAGTAGAAACACAATATATCACGACAATGAACTACAATTACGTATTCACTTTAATTTTTATAAGATCGGTTGGTCTAAAAAAAAAATGGGGGGGGGGGGGGGGCTTTTGGGGGCTCCCATAAGTTCTGCCCTTCAAAGGGTTAACTAACGCAGTTTTACCTAACACGGCGTTTTCAGGAACGCAACTACCGTGTAATATAATGGTCCACTGTATCTTATTATCAGAGAAATAAAGAGTAAATCTTCCATTTGTGTGTGAATAAGAAATCAACATGGAGAGCAAATGTAATATAGGAAAGGCCTGGGGACACGACTAATGAACAGAGGAAATGTTGTTTTAGTGCCAGGAATGTTTGCAATGTTTACTGTGGATTATTTTTAAATTGGTATTTTTTTTTTAATTTTGTGTGAATTGGCCAAATTACCAAATTTTGATCACTTTATAGGGTAGTTGAAATAGTTGAAGGGGGAGTTTCTTGTGATCAATTGATAGAATGGAAGGCATATTAGCAAAGAATTTGGTTGACTGGAAAAATGGAATTGGCTTAAAATAGAACTCAAAAGTCAGCAAAATCGACAGTGCATAAACTGCGCCGAGACCGTTTACTTTGCACCTGCATAATTCTGTAAGTTTTCCATCAAATTTCATACTTTTGGTGTCATTACCTTCTGAAGAAGATTCTCTACCATTTCAGAAGAAAATATAATTTCAGAGGGCATTTTTGGGTAATGAAAGTTTAAGTTTGGGGGTCTGGACAGTGAAAGGGTTAATAACCACTACGTGGGAGCCCAGACAGATCTGAGGAGAAAAAGAAGAGTTTCTACTGATGAGGTATAAGTCCTGCTTATTACTATTTCATTCCATTTTACATTGTTTCGTTACTTTCTCAGTTTTGTATACAAGTCTTAAAGTAAACTACTGAGCAAATTTATTAGTATTTTCACTAGCATGTCAAAACTGATGGTTTAAAATTTTCCATCTGGAAAACCTGATATTCACTGCAATTTTTATAGAGAACTGATATTTTACATTTTATGAAATGACACAACATTTTCCTCACTCCACAGCATCAGTATTTTGCAATAAATCATAGCTTGTCCAGAGCTCAACATTATGACACTCACACTAAAGAAATCTGCAAGAAAACTTAATTATTCAGTGTCAAAATACAGCAAATGACTCCAATTAGTGAATATAGAGGTAATAATGACCATGGAGGCTGAACTGTAGATAATAAAGTTCAAACCCAAATATCAGTTATACATTGAAAAGATTGCCTAAGCTAGGTCCATTGATTTATAATATACTGTAGTACAGTACTGCTAAATAAGAACATAACGTACGAAAAACTTCAATCAGACTCAACATAAGGAAATTTTTACTTAAAGGTAAAAACCAGAATATGAAACTGAATACTATTATAAATTAACAAGTGTAAATGTGACTTGATAAACATCAATGACAAAGTGTAGTCTACTTACTGCTTGAATATATGGTTCAAGAGTATCAGAACACTTCACAACTAATTCTTTTGCTAGATGATAGGCATTTTTCCGCTGAGATTTGGCTGGTTCCAGAACATTAGCTAATATTATGTCAAGGAGATCATTAGACACAACATCACTCTCATTGATGAGTGGACAGAGAACATCCAACATGAATGACTTCACCTTCCCGCTGTGTTCATCACTAAGGGAAAAAAAAAATCAGTATTATTAGAATGTTTATATAAAAAAGATTTCTCCCCTAATAGTCTAGAAATTTATCAATATTTGAAAAGTATATTTAAATACAAGGCAAACTTGAACTGATCTTGAAAAAATAAAACATTTATTTTAGATTCAAGGACAATTTTGTCTAAATAAGTTGTTTCTATAGTGATGCCAAAATACATTAAGTACTTCTAATGGTTATTGCAACTTAATAAACAAGTTTTTACTCTTAGTACCTAGCTTAGCAAAAATTCCTGAGCTCACACTTATACTATCTTGAAACTTGTTGTACACCTGTTATGCACTGCATACAATGCCTGTTAAAACAATATCTTCACACTAAATATATCCTAATATTCATCCCAGTATTACATCATCATGTTACTCCTAGTCCATAAGTAACATTACTTTAAAGTGCTTGTCATTTCCTTGGAATCTTCAGTCCTAAACTTGCCAAAAGACAGATCAAAAGTAGATAATCAAAGGCTATGTGTCTAGTAGACGATGCAACTAGTATTTTCTTCAGACCGCAGAATACCTACTGAGCAGTAAATAAGCAGTGCTTCTGATATCGCTTGGTAAGATGACAAGTAGTCAGGATCATAAAAGTTGATACAATGCTTTTTTACCATGATCACAGCATGGGTTTATTCTGCATATTCTCCCATAGCTCTCACTAATACACTATACATTTGATATACCTTTGAAGAGTTTCGAGTTTCTCCACTCTCTGCGCCCAGCCATGGGCCAGGCTCATCTGGTGCTTGCCTGGTCAACCAGGCTGTTGCTGCTGGAGGCCCGCTGCCCCACATATTATGGGGTATGAAAAATATTAAGACAACTAAGGGGGGTACAGAATAAGACCTACCACTTTCAATAAACCAAGCTCATCAGTGCCAGGATGAAACAGTCAAAATTAGAAGATTACGACACACAAAAAATGACATTTACTTGACAATGTTGAACATTAATTTGAAGAGTTTGCAGAATATCTCTTGGCAATCTTCCAATTCAAAGCACATGTTGAAAGACTTGACATAAGCCAGGTTCTCAAGGAGGTAGAAGTAACGCTTGAAAGCTGGATCCTTGGGATCCTTCAACCCTCCAAGCTGTTTTATCAGGAACATGAAAAGTGTCTGAAAAAAACAGGACAACAATTTTAATTTCAAACAACCCAAAAGAAGCTATCACAAAATTCACTTCCTTCTAACAAAAAGTTCTGTCTAAACTGTAGCAACAAAGACAGACTGTTAACAGCAGTTCATCATTCACAATAAAATTTACTATTGTATTAGATCTTACATTCAAGCAAAAAATACTTACTATCATAACTACAAGGAAAATGTATGAAAATTGTACCTTCAATTTCTTGCTGCCACAAACAAAAAAATTTAAACAATTAATCTACTTCAAACAAATTTAAATTCTGAAAAAATGCAACATGTATTTAAGAATATAGAAAAAAATAACTTACCAGACTCTCTAATGTCTTAATCCATTAAAAGAATGTCATAGAGAGTAATAAAGTAATTACAAATAATTACTGAAGCCTTAATAGGTGATCAAAATGAAAATGTTCTTCCAAGAGCATCTCAAGCCATCCAACTTGTGACATGAACCTACCATTTTTTTTTTATTAACACAATGACAGTTTCCCATCGAGGCAGGGTGACCCAAAAAAGAAGAAACACTTTCATTACCATTCACTCCATCACTGTCTTGCCAGAGGCATGCTAACATTAAAGTTAAAAAACTGCAACATATCTAAAACCCTCCTTCAGAGAACAGTACTGTACTTCCCACCTCAAGGACTCAAGTCTGGCTAACCAATTTCACTGAATTCCTTCATAAATGATACTGTGCTCACACTCCAAAAGCACAGTAATTCATAATAACCATCTGCCTCCACTCTCTCCCACTCTTGTTATTTTTTTTTTTTTTTTTAAAAAGTCGGCCATCTCCCATCAAGGCAGGGTGTGTTGCATGAGAATGAGAGTGTTGCTGTTTGTTTATTCTGTACTAACTTGTACAACCTGTACACAATGTAAGAGTACAGTGGACCCCCGCATAACGATTACCTCCGAATGTGACCAATTATGTAAGTGTATTTATGTAAGTGCGTTCGTACGTGTATGTTTGGGGGTCTGAAATGGACTAATCTACTTCACAATATTTCTTATGGGAACAAATTCGGTCGGTACTGGCACCTGAACATACTTCTGGAGTGAAAAAATATCGTTAACCGGGGGTCCACTGTATTTGTATTGTGAGGTAATTATTATTATTATAAAAAATACTGTGAGGTAAAAGTTTTACAAACTCTCACAAACGTACGTGACTGAACTAAAAGTAGACACATATTAATATGCATTTATTACACCTGACAAAGTGATTGCCCACAACCTGTTCAGTTTGTGTTCTCACATTGTCTGAACTCTGCATCTCGCTCTCTCTCTCGTTTACTCTTTTGTTAACTAGTTGGCTCTCATTGACAATGGCATCTAAGCTTAGCTGTGATAAAAAGAGAAGTCGTAAGCCTCTTGCTTTAACCCTTTCAGGGTCCGTCCCGTAGATCTATGGCTTTTCGGCGAGTGTCCAAACCGTAGATCTACGCCAAAATTCTAGCGCCATCAAATTTAGCGCGAAAGCGCTCATAGGCCTACATGTGAGAGAATGGGTCTGCGCCGTGGGTGTGCGCCATAAACAAAAAATCTAGGTGGCTGCATAGCATTGTGGGAACGCCGGCTCATTCACCCTTGTTCACCATGCCTCGTCGCAAGTCAGCTCTCACTCCCCGGAAAATTGGGACTCCCCTCTTTCCTGTCTGATAGTTCTGACCTGATGGAAGTGGAAATGAAGACGAATTCTCGGCTTTGATAAGTTATGACCAAAAATTAATGACCAGGATATCGATAATAGTGCAGAAACCCCGACGATCCTCGCCCTTTCTCCCTCTGGTGTGGGCACTGTGACTCACGTCGGGTGTTCTAAACGTAAGAGAAAACTAATATTTTCCCGTGGCCAGGCCTCTGATTCAGTAATGACATGATTCTGACTTTGATTGTGATTTTATTGCGCTCAACGATCATTCGAGTATGATAGTGAGGAAACATATTCACCAGTGAAGCGTCGGTATTTTCCCCGCCGCATGCGCTCGGGTAGTGTACCCTATGCTGTGCCCAGGGGACGGAGTACATCCGTGGCCCTACACCCGTTTAGGGAGTGTAGTGAGGATGATTTGGCTACACTTGGGATGGATGGGCCACAGGCATCAGTGGATGGTGTTAGTGGTGCTGGTGGTGGTAATGGCACTGCCATGCGTGACTCACTGTGCCACGCGGGGACCACGCTGCTTTACTCGTCAGTTCAAGGACAAAGCGGAGCGTCAGCCACCAGCCGCCACAACCACAACCACCCGTACAAAACCCGCCTAATGATGTTCCAGTATCCACCAGCAAACGCATGTGGGATTGGCAGCAAAAATCCCAATTTTGTTTCCCCCTCACCACTTTGATGACTCTCAAAGTGGAATTCTACCTACCTGTCCCCCTTTGGAAACACGGCCAATGAACTGGAATTCTTTGAATTATTCTTTGACCAGCCATTGATGGAAATTATTGCCAGGGAAAGTAATAAGTTTTTTTCAGTACACCATGGCAAATACGATCTTATCACCACAGTCAAGACTACACAGGTGGAAAGAGACGACTGTTGCGAAATGTATTTGCTTTTTGCAACAATAATGTTATGCTCACATCTATAAGCATAATATAAAAGCATACTGGTCCACAGATCGGCTTTAAATTTTTACCCCATCCTTCAGTGAAATAATACCAGTGAACAGGTTATCTTACTGTTACGTATGTTGCACTTCTCTGACAAAACCAGGCCTTTACGAAGTGACAGGTTATACAAGATTAGAAAAATGTTTTCATGTATCTCAAACAAAATTTCAGGATTACTTTTATCCATTCAAGAAACTTTTAATTGCGAGTCTTTGATTTTGTTCAAAGGTAGACTGTCATTCAAGCAGTATATACCGAGCAAGAGGAACCGCTTTGGTATTTAAAAATTGTTTGTACTTGTGATTGTGACAGTGGCCTGGTGTTGGATATTGTTGTATACACGGGTTAGTAAAACATTGAAAGATACCAAGAAAGTTATTGGGTATCTCAGGTGACGTAGTGAGAAACTTTATGGCACCGTATCTTGGTAAGGGCCATACATTATATACCCATAACTGGTACACAAGCCCATTATCAGTGATTTCATGCGATGAACAAGACAGATGTGTGTGGGACAGTGCGTTCTAATCGTAAACATATGCCCAGGCTCAACACAGGTGTTCGTGGGTGATGACGGTGCAGGTGTTTACTGCCAATGACATCATGGCCCTTACGGTGGCATGACAAACGAGATGTCACATTGTTGACAACCATTCACCCTAATGAAAGCAAGACAGTGGCAAAGTTGATCGAGTGACTAATGAACGTATTCGAAAACCAGTGTCAGTGATTGATTATACACAAAACATTGCTTGGTTGACAAGTGTGACATGCAGATTGGTTTTGTTGACTGTGTTCGTAAGAGTTTACAAGTGGTACATGAAACTTTTCTTCCCTCTCATGGACATTTCAATGCTGAATCATATAATATGTACCAAAATAAAGACTGGTAACAGACCACCGTATGGGTGAATTTTGTTTGTCTGTTGTCAGACAACTCATAATGAAGTACCAGGTAACAACACCTGCAATACAACATGGTCCTCGAATTCATCACAATATACCCAAACGTTTGAGGAGAGAAGGTGATCATTTCATAATACAGCTTCCTTCAACTCAAAAGAAATTTGCCCCAGAAGAGATGCATTGTCTGTGCACAAAAAAAACGACGGCAACAAAGACGCAAAGACACTCGGTTTATGTGTAAAGGATGTAAGGTTTCCCCTGTGCATGGTGCCTTGTTTCAAGGAGTTCCACAAGCTCCAGCAGTTCTAAAACCATGTCCAGTGTTTTTAAATATGTAAATATATATAGAAAAATTAGTATTATACAATATTTGTGCTGTTTATTGTAATAAACAAAAAGTGGTAAACAATAATATGATAATAACTTTAGTGCGGTTTTGTGTTCAATACAGGAGTATATTATATCAATTATATACAGTATTGGTCTTCGGCCCAAATGTTTAGTGGAATAGAAAAAATTGGAAAAGAAAAAAAAAAAAACAACTAAAACAAAAAAATAATTAATCGCGTATGTGGAATTCATCGATGTTCCCGCCACCACATCATTTTCTTAAACTTTTTGGATGTTCTCGGTAAGTATGTAGATTAATTTTTTTTTGTTTTTTTTACCTTCACAAAATATGCCTTTTTAAATTCTGTAAGAAAAAAATTTTTTTTTTTTTTCAAATTTCTTGGACATGGTGGTGCTTCGTTTTTGGGCCCTTGGACCCAAAAAGGGTTAAGTACCAAGTTTGGGATGTGGTGTGCTTCCGATTTTATTCAAAAACACCCTGCCACTTACCTCTCAACATTAATTTCATTTTTGGTAAGTAATAAGGTACTCTGTGTGTATCTTCCCTTTTTGTTTTTGTTTTTTTTGCCTATTTCTATTTATTAATATAATTTTGTGTACCTTTTTGTCTGGCATTTATGCATATTTTATTGTGCTCTGTAATAATACTTGTGGACCTGTTGGGGGCCGGGTGGAGGGAAAACATTAGTTTTCTTGGTCAGGCCCCCAGAGGAAAATGTCTAATCTGCATTTGGCCCAGCCACCCCCCCCACTCCGTTTTTGTTCACAATTTTCGCATGAATTATTCTTACTTCTCCCCTTTGTTTAGTGGCATTAAAGGAGTAGTTAGAAATTATTTAAAATTTAGAGAAAAGGTATGTCGATGCTAATTTAAAATGGCTCTGGGGCCACAGTGTAGGTAGCCCGGGAGTGTAGCCAGGAGGGTTTCACCTACCCGGGTCTAACACTGACTTCTACAAATATTTTCTCACCTCTCTTCTTCATTAAGACTACAATATTTTAAAAGGGAAATAGTGAGTGTACTGTTGTTACTTTAACTCTCTGGGATGTTTTATTTTTTTTTTTTTTTAAAAAAGTCAGCGTCTCCCACGAGG